CTCCCCTTGTCCTTGCTGTGATATCAATGGAGATCACTCGGGGCATCTTGACTTCTGCCTCTATCTGGCAAAAAATAGGTACCCCTTCCCCTTCCTACTGAGATTGTAACAGAAGGGACCTTCTAGAGACTCAGGACTTTCACCATTGCTCAGTGGTAGTGAAGCCAGTCTCAGCTTGATGTCTTAGGAGACCACATGGGGAGGCCAAATCCCTAACCCACTCAGCAGTCATGAGAAACTTCCACTTAGGTGTCAATGCAGGCCAGGTGAGGAACCTGGACTTATACCTTCACTTGGTAATAATGTCAGATAAGTGTCAGAGAAAGCCAATGAAAACAGATGATTTAAATAAGATCCAGAGTCACATAGCATAATACAAGAATGTTCATATTTCAATTGAAAACCACTCTTCATACCAAGAGCCAGAAAGATCTATACTTGCATAAAAAAGTATTTGATGATGCCAACATTGAAATGACAGTCAGAACTATCCTAAGGATTTTAAAGAAGCCATGATAAAAATGCTTCACCAGCAACTACAAACCTTCTTGAAATAAATGAAAACTTAGAAAGCCCAGAAAAGAAATATAAAGTCTCAGCAAGGAAATATAAATTATGAAGAAGATCTGTATGGGAATATTAGAACTGAAAATACAAAAACTGAAATAAAAAGCTATGTGGATAAACTCAATAGCAGAATGGAGGGGACAGAGAAAAGAATCAGTGAAGTGGAAGAGGGGGTGATAGAAATTTACCCAATATGAATAGCAGAGGAAAAGTAAAATGATAAAACAACAACAACAAAAAAACATAATGAGCAGAGCTTCAAGGAAGTTGTCGTTTTATAGTAGAAGATATGATATACATGGCATTAGAGTACCAAAAGGGAAGGAGAAAGAAGATAGTGCTGAGGAAATACTTGGAGTTATAATAGAATATATATATACACACATATACAAATACATCTCTATGGCTGAAACTTCTTAAATTTAGTAAGAGACATAAACCTACAGAATCGAGTCTGAGTAAATCCCAGACAGAATAAATACAATGAAATCTGCACTAATTAAACTTTAGAAAACTATTTTCAAGGAAACTTCTTGAAAGCAACAAGAGAAAACAAAACCTAACTTACAGGAGGAAAGCAATTGGGAGAACAGCAAATTTCTCATCAAAAACAATGGAAGTCAGAGAAAATGGCACAATATTTTTAAAGTGCAGATAGGAAAGAACCGTGAACTCATAATCCTAAAAATAGTGAAAATATCCAGCAGGGATGTAGAAGGTATCAAGATATTCTCAGAATCAGGAAAAACAAACTAAGAGAATTATTTATTAAGCATACCTACCATACAAAAGTGGTTTGAGGAAGTTATTTGAACAGAAAGCAAAAAAAAAAAAAAATGAAGAAGAAGAAGATGAGGACTCAGAAATCAGGAAAAAGAAATGAACATGGTAAACAAAAATATGGGTAAATGCATTAGATGTTCTCTCTCTTGAGTTTTCTAAATTATATTTGGTTGTTAAAGTGTATGTTATAACACTGAGGTAGCTAATAAACATAGAGGAATATTTAGTACAATTATATTTTGAATAGGGAAGGTAAAGGTAAGTTTCACTTGAACTGATAAAATGATGTCACCAATAGACTGATATGTTGTGTGTGTGTATATTTTACCCAGAGCAGCCACTAAAAAATTATATAGTGATACAATGCAGACCTTACAAAGAATAACACAATTGTATTGATTTATATGAAAATGCATACTTAAGTATTGTATTACATTATGTTAAAGGTATATTAAAATATACAAGTGTGTATATGTATATTTTTATAAGCACAGAGTACTTTGGGGATGGTAGACAAGTGACTTGAAACCATGGTTGAATCTGAGGAGGAGAGATGCGTGTCTAGAGGGAAGGTGTGGAAGAAGCCTTACTCACTAACTTTAAACACTCTGTTGTTCCTTTTGAATTTTGTACTTTGTGCTTGTATTACCAATTGAAGAATTTGTTTGCATGTTTTAACAAATAAGAATGTCCATACATAGACTCAATTATATAATATAATATAATATATTATATAATTGAGTCTGTGTGTGTGTGTGTGTGTGTGTGTGTGTATGAATTCAGCAGATGATAAAGGAAGAATTTTAAGACAGTATGGGGAAAAGATAGGTTACTTCATAAAAGATATTGGGAAAACTGTCTAGCCATTGGAGGAGGGTGAACACAGTCATGCAACTACTGATACCTAACTCTTATATCCCAATAAATTTTAAATGAAGATATGAATGTAAAAAGTGAAAAATAAAACATAGACTAAAACATAGGTAAACATTTTATTGTCTTGAGATAGGGAAAGTGTTTTGAAAGCATAGTACTAATAATATAGTCATAAAGGAAAATGAATGGTGGATTTAGTCATATAAAAGTTTACCCTTTTGTATGACCAAAACAGTGGTATGCAAATATATAAACTATATTAAGTGATACAGTGATTATGACCATGAAAGAGGCAAAATAAATTGCAGGATACTCATATAATTGATTATTACACAGCAACAAAAATAAGTAAATCACCAATACAAGGAGCATAATTGATAAATCTCATGGGTATAATGTTGAGCCAATGAAGCTATTTACAAAACCAGTCTATGTGTTAAATGTCAGTAGAGTGGTTAGTTTTCAAGAGGGAAGGATGGAATAATGACCGGCAGAGACATGAGAGGCTTCCATGATGCTGCTAACATGAATCTTGGGTGGTAGCACAGGTGGTACAAGTGTGTGCTCACTATGTGATATGCATAAAGCTGGATACTACTCTGTGCATATTTTACTTCAGTAAAGTAGTTTTAGAAACAAGCATACAAACAAGAATTTCTGACTGTCATATTGGCAAAGACTTTTTAAAAATGAAGTTTTATTTTGGTCACACTATATGTGATGAAATTTACAAATGGCAGACTGTTAATTGTGTTGCCAGTTCTATTCAACAATTTCTGTAACAGGAATTTATCCTAAGAACAGAATGAGAAAATTATACAAGGAAACATCCATAATGATATACATAGTAGCTTTATTTATAAAAATGAAAAGTCAGATAAACACTATATGTCCAACATTGGGAGTTTGTTAAACTAATAAAGGTACATATGGAATATGTTGTAACCAGATATACTGAGGCAGGACTACTTTTGTGTAGAAAGTTATATGAGTAGTTTTGTGACAAAAAATAGCAATTTCCAGATCTATTTCTCTCATATTAACGCATAGATACACACACTCACATACACTCAGAATCACATTTTAAAAATATCTATATCTAAATAGTTTGAATCAGTAGTCTCTAAAATGTCAGCAGAATTTATCTATGGTTTTGTGTGATTTTTTTCCTTCTATTTTCCCTTTTGTATTTCAGAAAAAAAAACACAGGTAGATATATTACTTTCTAATACTGAGAGAAAATAATAAAACAAAAGTAAACAAAAAACACCTGAGAAGTATTTTTGTATATCTCCTCCAGTTAATTTCTTCCCTCCTCTGGGACCAATCAAGTTTTTAAGTTAAATGGGAGGAAAGGGAAGAGAGAAATGTAAATGAACCATATTTGTTAAGTTTAATGGTGATACCTGATAATATTTAAAAATATGAATCTTATTGCAGAGTTTTTCTTTTTCACAAATGAGAATTCTTTTTAATTCATCCTTTATTTAAGTTACATTCATTTATAGATTGAACAGTAGTGATGTCATGCTATTTTCTAGTACATTGAAATAAATTAAAAAGTGTTGTATACTCCAAACTTAAAAATAGTTTGCATAATTCACTAGTTCAGACATGGTCCCAGATTTTATGGAGTTTTAAAGTTATATAATTTTTGAGGTTGTTTAAGTAATAAAACCACAATTTTGAGTATATGTTAGTTCCCGGTCCCTGGAGGGGGCTTGTGGCAGCGAGAGGCCCTGGCACTTCTTTTCTTCACTTCATGCAAAATTCATTTGTTAAGACCTAAGTCTCATTTACTTATGCCTATTCTCTCTTTTTTTGGAGAGAAATTATTGCTCAAAATTATTAAATTGTGATAACACATGTACTTGATATTAATACAATTTAAAGATAGCTTATGGAAACAGATTTATTGAAATACGAAAATAGAATATGTATTTAAGCCTTACTGTGGAAGGCTGTTAAGCTTACGGACGTTTTAAGGCCCTATACGTATAACAATTGGATATATTTTCTCTCTTATTTTAAAGAAAGTAAATCATTCAACAAATTTATATATTTGATTAATATTATTTATTTACTCCTATAAATACTCTTCTCCCTACCCCCTCCCTCAATTCTACAATCTAGCTTTAAAATACTCATATATTTAGATTTCATACTAGGAATTCTCAAATTTTAATGTACATCAAAATCATCTAGTCTATTGTTAAAATATGAGTTCTAATTTGTTAGTTCTGGGGGGAGGTCTAGGATTCTGCATGTTTAGCAAGCTCCCAGGAGATTCCTCTGTAGCGGGTCTGCAGACCACACTTTGTGTGTAGTCCACACGAAGTGGACTCCATAGCATTCTAACCTGTCTCCAGCATCGCCTCATTGGAAGTGGGGAGGTCCCTCCATGCCCTCCATATGTAGGGGACTGTTTCAGTATAAGGGGCAGCTGGTGATTATGTAACCAGGAATATAAGCGTAGGATTGAGATTACATGAAACAAGTAACACAGCTAAGGACAGCAGATGTGCGCTGCAGAGTAAGAGTGAGAGAGGGAGCACAAGTGAGCCAGTGCTGAGAAAGACACAATTTCTTCACCCACTACATTGGGGACATGTTTGTAAGTACATTGACAGGCAGACTCTTTTCATGTTTGGCTTGTCATGAGAAGCACAGGTGAGGCAGTAAGTGTGGAGCTCTTCTGGGAATTTAGAAGTTCAGAAAAAAGGACTCTGAATTGTTAAACTTTGACCACACAGATGTGGGTGCTTCCCTTTCAGGGTTCAGGGCATACTGTGTGTGGTGACAACCCGTCTTGCTGGCAGCCTGTCCCACCTGTGATCTCTTCTGGGAAATATCATCAGGAGCTGACTGCGGCCAGCGGCCAGCGTTTCTCAGTTCTCAGCCAAGGTAAGGAGTCTCTGATGGTGCACTAGTTATGCTGTGAAGTTTACGGATCAGCACAGGGCGGAGTGCTCTGAAGACACTGCTTTTCCAATAAATGCTATTCCAGTGATAACAGAGATAGGACTTTCTGCTATTAGGGAAAACTAAGAAAAGCACATGCCCTGTTGCTCCTACTTTTGATATTCTGCCTCCCTAAGAGAGCTGGATCTATGGTTTTTTTCCCTTTCTTTTTATTGTTGGCACTAATACAGATGTCCCCATTTCTGCACCTTTACCTGCCTCCACTCGTGTTTTTGTAATTGTGGTGAAAGAAAACAAAATGCATAACCTATTTATTTACCTTCTTAACCAGTGTTTAAGTGTTCAGGATAATATTATTAACTATAAACACATGTTGCACAGCAGGTCTCTAGAACACATATTCATCTTATGAAACAAACTCTAAATCCTTTGAAACTTATTTCCCCTTCATTCCATTCTGATAACTACCATTCTGCTTTCTGCTTCTTTGAGTGTACAACTTTAAATACCTCATATAAGTGGCATCATGCAGTGTTTGTCCTTCTATGACTGGCTTATTTCACTTAGCATTATGTCCTCAAGATTCATTCATACTGTAGCAGATGGCAGAATTTCCTATTTTATGGCTAAATAATATTCTATTGTATAGATACATGTGTGCATGCATGCACTTAATTCCTCAATTGATTAACTTTTAGGTTGTTTCTACATTTTGGCTACTGTGAATCATACTACAATGAACATGCGAGTGCAGATATCCCTTTGATATCCTGATTTCAATTCTTTCGGATATATCTCCAGAAGTAGAATTGCTTGGGCATGTGGTAGTTCTATTTTTGAGAAGCCTCCTTAGCTATACCATTTTATAGTCCTACCAACAGTACCTAAAGGCTTCAATTTCTCCATACCTTAACCAACACTTATTGTCTGTTTTTTTTCTTTTTTAATAATGACCATCCTAATAGATGTGAGATTATATAATTTGTTGTGGTTTTGATTTATGTTTTCTGATGATTAGTGATTTCAAGTATCTTTTCTTATACCTGTGGGCCATTTGTATGTCATTTTTGGAGAAATGTCTATTTAAGTCCTTTGTCTATTTCCTAATTATATTATTTGTTGGATTTTCTATGCTGTTGTTGTTTTAGTTTTTTGTTTTTTGCTATTGAGCTGTAGGAATTTCTTGTAGATTTTAGATATTAACTCCTTATTGGGTATATGGTTTGCAGATATTTTGTCCCATTCTGTAGGTCACCTTGTCACTCTGTTGACTGTTTCATTTACTGTGTAGAAACCTTTTAGTTTGATGTAGTTCTGCTTGTCTATTCTTGATTTTGTTGCCTAAACTTTTGTTATATTCAAAAAAATCATTGCCCAGACCAATGTTACAGTTTTCCCCTATGTTTTCTTTTATGAGTTTTATAGTTTTAGGCTTTATGGTTAAGTCTGTACTCTATTTTGAGTTAATTTTTGTAAACGGTATAAGATAGGGGTCCAACCTCATTCTTTTGCACGTGGACCTGCAGTTTTCCCAGCACCACTTGTGGAAGAGAAAGAAAAGCCTTTCCCCTTTACATGGTCTTGGCATCCTGGTCAAACATCATTTTAGTGGGTATATGTCGGTTTAATTCTGGGATTTCCATTCTGTTCCATTGGTCTAATGTCTGTGTTTATACTAATATTATACTATTTTTATTATTGTAGTTTTGTAATGTTTTGACGTCAGAAACTATAAGGCCTTGAAAAAATATATAAAAAGTTCCTTTCACAAGATTTATTTAGTCCTTTGTGATTACATACAAATTTCAGAATTTTTTTCTATTTTTGTAAAAATATCATAGAGATTTTGATAGTGATTGCATCGAACCTATGGATTGCTTTGTGCATTATGGACATTTTAACAATTCTAAGTCTTCCTATCCATGATGTTTTTGTTTTTATTTGTGTGTTCTTTAATTTCTTTCATCAGTGTTTTGTACTTTTCAGCGTATGCCTTTCACTTCCTTGGTTAAGTTTATTTCTAAGTACTTTAGTCTTTTGCATGCTATTGTAAATTGGATTGTTTTCTTAATTTCCTTTTTGGGTTGTGTGTTGTTAGTATATACAATAGAAATACAACTGATTTTTGTGTATTGATTTGGTGTCTTACAACTTTGCTGGATTCATTTATTAGTTCTAATAGTTTGTTTTTTTCATATGTAGAATCTTTAGGGTTTTCTACATATATAAGATCATGTCATATGTAAAGAGAGATTATTTGTTTCTTCTTTTCTGGTTTAGTTGTCTTTTATTTTTTCCCAACTGCTCAGACTAGTGTACTTTCAGTACTGTGTTGAATAGAAGTGGTATCCTAATCTTGTTCCTGGTCTTAGAGGAAAAGTTTTTAGTTTTTCACAATTGAGTGTAATCTTAGCTGTGGGCTTTTCACATATGGTTTTTATTATGTTATTTTCTTCTGTTTCTAGCTTGTTGAACAATTTGTTTGTTTGTTTTAATCAGGAAAGAGTGTTAAATTTTGGTCAAATGCTTTTTTTGCATCTATTGGGATTTTCATGTGATTTTTATTCCTCGTTTTAATAATGTGTGTATTGCATTGATGGCTTTCATATGTTGAATTATTCTTGCATCCCAGGAATAAATCCCATTTGGTCATGGGATATGATCCTTTTAATGTGCTGTTGAATTCAGTGTTGTTTTTTTTTTAATTTTGTAGAGGATTTTTACACCTTTATTTATCACAGATATTAGCTGATAGTTTTCTTTTCCTATAGTATTTTTGCCTAACTTTGTTGTTAAGGTAATGCTGGCCTCATCAAATGAGTTTGGAAATGTTTTCTCCTCATAAATTTTCTGGAAGATTTTAAGAAGATTAAAGCATAAGAACTATGACATAGTTCTTATTTAAAAGTTTCATAGAATACACCATTGAAGCTCTCTGATCCTGGGCTTTTCTTTGTTGGGGTTTTTTGGTTACTGTTTCAATATCCTTATTTATTATAGGTCTGTTCAGATGTACTATTCCTTCATGAACCAGTCTTGTTAGGCTGTATGTTTGAAGAATTTATTTCTACTAAGTTATCCAAATTGTTGGGATATGATTGTTCATAGAAATATTTTATAATCCTTTTTATTTCTATGGCATCAGTTGTAATATCTTCTCTTCCTTCTCTAATATTGTATACTTGACTCTTTATCTTAGCATATCTAAAGGTTTGCTTTTATCTTTTCAGAAAAACCAACTCAATTTAATTGATTTACCTATTTTTAAAATAGTTTTTAAAAACGTACTTTGCATAGTATAAAGTGTACACATTTAAAGTATATAATTCAGTGTTTTTTTAATATATGTACAGAATTGTTTAATTATCACAATCTAATTTTAGAACACTTTCTTAATTTTTTTATTGTTGTTCAGTTATAGTTGTCCCCATTTTTTCCTCTGTTGCTCTTCCCTGCCCCATCCAACCCCTGCTCCCAAAGACAGTCCTCATCCCACTGACCTTGTCCTTGGTCCTTTGTACATGTTCTCCTTCTTCCCCCCATTATCCCCTTTCCCCTCCCCTCTGGTCACCATCAGTTTGTTCTTTATTTCCATGTCTCTGGTTCTTTTTTTGTTCATTTGTTTGTTTTGTTGATTAGGTTCCACTTACATTTTCATGATTCAAGCAAAGCAAAACAGAACAAAACAACACAAAAACAAAACTGTGTATCCATTAGCAGGATGAGGCATATTTAACTATATAAATATTATGCACTTCTGAGACTCTGCTTTTGACTGGAAAGAATATGATGAACTTTGCAAACGAATTTTTTAGCTTTCTTTTATTATTTTTAAAAATTGATTATGCTATTACAGTTGTCCCAATTTTTCCCTCTTTGCCCCCCTCCACCCAGTACCCTCCACTCCCTCCAGTTATTCCCCTCTCTTTTGTTCATGCGCATGGGTCATCCATATAAATTCTTTGGCAATTTCATTTCCCATACTTGCTCTTAACATCCCCCTGTCTATTCTGTAACTACCAATTTGGACTTCTTAATCCCTTCACCTTTTCCCTCATTCCCCTAAATCCCCCTCCCCAGTGTCCACCATCCCATTGTTCTCCATATCTGTGATTCTGTCTGTCCCTCTTCTTCTTCTTCCCTTTGTTTTATTTTTTTTTAGATTCAGTTGTTGATACTTATGCATTTATTGCCATTTAATGTTCATAGTTTTGATCTTATTTTTCTTAAATAAGTCCCTATAACATTTCATATAATAATGGTTTGGTGATGATGAACTCCGTTACCTTGTCGGGGAAGCACTTCATCTGCCTTGTGCCCTTTGATTCCAAATGATAACTTTGCTAGATAGAGTAATCTAGGTTGTAGGTCCTTTTTTTTTTTTTTAATCACTTTGAATGCTAGCCAATCCCTTCTAGCCTATAAAGTTTCTTTTGAGAAATTAGTTGACATTCTTATGGGAACTCCTTTGTTAGTAATTATCTGATTTTCTCTTGCTGCTTTTAAGATTCTCTTTATATTTAATCATTGACTTTGCTGTACTGATTGGATGTCTTTTTCTTCCTTATGATCCAAATCATTGACTTCTTTCTTAGCTTTATCCACTCCACCGTTGATTCTCTGTAAATTGTTCTTTATTTCAGTTAGCATATCCTTCATTTCTGCCTGGGTATTTTTTATGCTGTTGACATACCCATTGAGTTCCTTGAGTATCCTTATAACCAGTGTTTTGAACTTCGCATCTAATAGATTGTTTATCGCTCTTTTGTTTAGTCTTTTTCTGGGGTATTGTTGTGTTTTTTCATTTGAGCCATATTTCTTTGTCTCCTCATTTTGACAGCCTGTGTTTGTTTCTATGCATTAGGTAGAGCTGCTTTGACTCCATCTTAGTCTTAAGTGTGGTATAAAGTAGGAGATGTCCTGTAGGGTCCAGTGGCACAGCCTCCCCTGTCTCCCAAGCTGTGTACTTGAGGTACTCCCTC